TTTTATATAATAATAATATTATTAAAATTAATATTTAATATTTTATAAAGAAATTAACAATTATTTTTAATTTCGCAAGACAATTTGCCTGCTAGACAATTTAAGGATTAACTATGATTGTAGATTATGTTTTTCTGATAGCCTTAAAATCTATAATATCATCAGTTGTACAACATATTCCTAAAGAAATTCTTAAGGAAGGCTCTCAATATATTAATACAATATATTCTAAATTGAAAGATCAGATTCTAAATATGGTTATAAAAGATGATACTGTTATGAAAAAGAGAAAAAGTATGGGGACATGTTATAAATAAAATTATAGATGTTTTATATCCGCTAATCCAAGCCACAAATATAGAGCAAAAACCTCTTATTCAAGTTCTAATAGAATCGAAGCTAGATGATCTCCTGAATGATATAATACCAGTTGGTTCTAATACTCTAAACCATGCCATTAAAGCATATGCACAATTTTATTCAGCTGAAAAAAAAAATAGTCAATTATATTGGCCTAAGCCCTTAGAGATAAATTTTTTACAAATAAAGGATGCCGATGATGTTGTGACTATTTATTGTAAAATAGGAGATTTGGTAATACCTTGTGCAATAATTAATACAGGCTCTGATTCTTCTATATTTTCAGATAATATTGCTGAACTTGTCGAAAAGCTTTTAGGTATTAAAATTAATAGAAAAAAAATTCATAGGCTTAATGGAGTTGTAAATCAATCTATATCCATCAGTACTATAGATAATGTTCCTATAACAATTGGTTCTGAAGATAATACACCATCAATCATAGATGAATTTTCTGTTGTACCTGCAGTAAAGGATCAGGATAAAAATGCTAAATCTTTAGTAATTCTCAGTACTCAATGGCAATATTGAGCTAAATGGGAACCTTTAATAAAAGGAGAATTTAAGGTTACATGTAATAGAAAGACTATTACCATTTCCTATCAGTTCACAAATCCAGCGTAATGTTTTTACTATAGAGAAGAAGTCACATAACTCCTTTCCAACTAACGAGAATAGTTTAAAAAAAAGTGTTTAAACTATGCAAAGCTTGAAGAACGTCTTACAAAAGCTGAAGAGTAGCTTAGTAAAGCAATAAGTGCTATAAAAATGCTTGCCAAAAAGATGTAAGTTATTTAATATTATTCATTTATTTTAATACATCTTCAAGTTTAGATCCCATTTTAGATAAAATATCAGTATTATCTGTGATATTAGTACTGTACTGTGAAACTACCTCTATTTCTGTCTTAGTAGATGCCATTTTACCTTTTTTTTTTTGACTATTTTTCTTCAGTGATAAAGCAGGTGAAGAGGAAATAGCAGGAGGTAGATCACAGTTTACTACAGATAAACACTCATTTGTATAAGTAGTATTAGAAATATCAGCTATTGGTTGATTCTAAGCAATTCTATTAGCTTCTTCACCTCACCAAATCTGATATATGCGCTTTATTGATGTATTATATTTATCCATCAATTTCTTTAAAACTTTTTTTCTCAGTCTCTTATCATAGCGTTATTTAATAAAATCATAATCAGTTGGTGAAAATGGAGGTGCATTACAATCATACATTATCTAACCATAATTGTGATGTATTTTTTAGATAAAATATTCAAAAAATATTAAATAGGATGAATAAAATGAATGTATTCTTTGGGACAAATAGGATAAGAGTATTCCTTTTAATATTTAGAATAAGTATGATAGCCCTATTATTTTGAAAATAATTTATTAGGATAAATATGATAAATATATTATTTTGAAAAAATTTATTAGAATATTTAGAATACTTAAGATACTTAGGATACTTAGGAACTTAGGATAAATGTTATTATTTCAAAAATTATATTTTTTTGACTATATTTGTAGGGATAAAAAACTATACCTCGAATCTATACCTTAAATGATGTAGACAATAGTGATGGTAGTAAACTTGAAACTCTACCATTAAATCGATATTCACCGAGCTGATTAGAATTGAAGAACAGCTAAAAAAGATTGTGAAAACTTTATAAAATCAGCCAAATAGCTTATAACTAAATATCATGTCTTAGATGAAAAAAATAAGTGTATGCAAAATGATCTAAATCACACACATGAGGAAAATGAGTGTATGCATAATTCTATGAATCAAATTAACCCTCTAGCTAATCAACTAAATGGTTTGAATAATAAGCTTATTTCTTAAATTATTTGTGAATGAAAGTATAATACTGATCTTAATGCTAAGCAGTTAAAAGAAATAGAATCGCTAAAGTTTACGGTTAAATCACTAGGAAGCATAATATCTTCGATGCAAAAAGCTTCATCTTTGAAGTATTTTGATATCATCTCTCTTGGAACTAAAATAAATGAACTGAAGGCTGAGTTAAAACAAGCTACACAAAAAGTTTTATTAAAAGATTCTGATACTAACCAGTTGTAGCAATCCCTCTCTTGAGATTAAAGCAAAGGAATTGGAAAATGAACTGGAGAAAGTTACATAAAATTCATCAGTCTCAGGTCTAGGGTAAGTAATCTAGAAGATGAACTAGATCAGATCGTTTTGCAATCATATTAGTCAATTAATGATTTAAAAAAAGATAGTATAGAAGCGAATCCAGTTTCATTATCCAATGATTATAAGCGTAGTAAAGCAGTAGAAGAGGTATCACATTTTTCTTCACACTACTCAGAGTCTGAATCTGACGAAAGTAAAGTAAAAGATGAGATAGAGTCCCAAAGAGACCATTTTCATTATGATTAAAAATCAAAAGAAAAACATGATAGTATCTCAGCCTCGCCCATTGTTATATTAGGAGGTGATAAGACTTTAGTTGATAATCAGTATATGCTTCTGCCCATATTCGAACTCATGATTCTTGCTTTAGTGATTATACTAATTATATGGTATATATATAGACGTTTTTTTCACTCTGATAAAAAGGAAGAAATTTTTCCAAAATATAAAATACATATAAATAGAAATTAAAGGTTATACATTCCTAATCTGATATGAGAAGCACAAGGAAAAAAGTAATCAAGCTAATTCATGCAAAGCACCTCTCGACTGAAGAAAAAAATCATATGATTTCTCTTATGTGAGGTAAATAAAAATTGCCAAGAAAAATGATAGATTATGGAATCTACCATATTTCCGAGACAGGCTGTTGTCTTAGCAGAAAATTGTTATGAAATAAATATATATATTTGTGAAATCGACCGCCAGGGTCACTTTATTGATACAGAAAAAATAATAATAAATTTATTAAATATATAATCCTATCTATTTAGAATCTATATTTGAACTGCTTTTATTTCTTTTGGATCTAACTGAATGTGCATTAAGTAGTAAAGACATATTAACTATTAGAATATTCCATAAAATCAGTAAAGTCTTTACGAAATTTATTATGAAAGATGAATTAGATGGTTGTACAGAAATTTCTGTTTTGTAAAGATGATAATAACGATGAATATTTTCCATATCTCTAATGAGAACATTTAAGCGCATTATTTGTCTGGTAACTTGCATTCCAATAATTCTGAATTCACCTTTATCTGACCCAAATGATTTATGAACCCAGTACATCCTATCATTAGCCTTATGCCATAATTTTATTTCATCATCTATTTCCTTTTGTGATATGCAAGACAAGTGTGAACTTTCAACATATATGAGCTTGTATTTTTTTCTATCATGCTTTATCACAAATATAATATCTGGCTGTCTTCCTGTTCGTCCTTCATCTTTCCTATCTGCCTTAGCTGAACTTTAGCGTTCAGCACTAAAAGAAGAAGAACATTAGTAATGGTCTAAGTTTTTGAAATATCACTTTTACTAATTATATTATAACTCAAATGCTGACATAAAATGACTTCCCTAAAGGAAGACTTTTTAATGTGACTCGAATAGCAGGTACAATTATGTTTGTCACATAAGTACCTTCATTTTGTGATTTCATGAACTCAGAACTAAATGCTGAATTATTCCATGAATCATTTAAAGAATCCAAAATTCTTGATGTAACCTTTGCAAGCTCCTCATTTGATTCTTTTCACTCTCTATTATGTGAAAGTTTTTATGGTAAAATGTTTATATCACTTTCAATAAAGTTAATCACAAATTCTTCGCATTTTTCCCTTATAATTTTGGAAGTGATAAAGAAACCATATCATCTACTGGTTTCTAATAATAGCATAAATTAAATGATATCAAGATCGAAAAATATCAGATGTTAGCCAGAGGGTTCTTTGAACCAAGCATTTTACATATGACTGTAAAATAAAAAGAAGAATTTACCATAAAAACTTCTTTAATTATTCTGGTAATTTTTCCACCAAATCTGAATCATCGCTAATTACTTGGTTGGCTACAGGGTCCTTCCAGGTTAACTCAGAAACAGATACCTCATTTATACCTGAAAATAAATGGTAGTAAAGCTGTGACGTATTGTTTCTAAGTTTGCCCTTTAGCGCCTTGATATTTTTCCAATTTTATCTGAAATAAGAGGCCTTTCTCCATTCGTCTTCACTGCACTGTTGTTACGTAAACTACAAACTGTTTTAAAACTAATTTCAAACTAACATAGACATATGATTAATTAGTTCTGGATATATATATATAAAATTATCAAAAGCGTATGCGCTATCAGATTAAAATAAAGCCCTATTCTCATATGGTTAGCTACTTTAACACTTAAATAAAGACTTTATGCAATACTAAAATAACTACATTGAATGAAATATATACTATAGCCTAACTACCCTCTACACTGCCGAGGAAAAATCCTGTGAGTGAGCTAATAGGATATTTAGTCTATCATACTCTCTTTCTCAGAATAGTATCAGTCTGCATTATTCATCACTCAAATAAATTCTCTTTTACTTTCTTTAGAAATATCTTATCTCTGGTAAAATTTCAAGAAGAGTAGTATGGCATGAGAAACCTCGATACTATTGATTCTTCATAAATGTAACAGCCCACTCGATAATACTTTTTAGCTTATTTTGAGATATCCAGTGATTTTCTTCGATTCCTTGATAGATAACAGACTCAACGGTAATGTCTTTTTCCTCAGAATTTAATAAGAAATTGTAAATTTTAGTGTATAAATCAGCAGGCATGGTAAAAATAAAAGAAGTTATAATAGTCATCACTCTAATATACTACCCTTTTAAATAATTACATTTACGTTCTCTCTGGACTTATATTCATGTTGGAGAGAAGAGACAGGAGAATATACAACAGAGAATAGGAATATGCATTAAAGATCAATATTTAAAAAGGCATTAGGATAATGCATATATAGATATTTTTTCGTCTGTCTGGATTAGAATAGATTATCTCCTGCAGGTCTATAACTGAAGGAGGGAGAAAAAAATTCAAAATATCCCCTTTAATCAAAGATCTTTGGGGCGAATAGCTATTAGGATTTATCTCTTACATCAAAGGAGAGGTCAATTTATGTATGAAATTATTTTGTCGCATAAGCAGATGGTCGCACTTGCACAGATGATTGATCATGTATCACTATTTTATCATATTTCAATAAGGATCAGGAACATATTTATTTATGCTTTAGCACCTTAACTGCTGTCGCACATGCCTATATGCATTAGCTTAAGATGTGGGCAAATATACTCTATGGCTAAAATAATATTCGGGAAACTTTCGTCAAGAAAATTCACGTGATTTTGGGCAAATATATATCAAGAAAGTAATGGTCTATATTAAAAATATTTCTCAATCAATAATTGTGATTTCTACACCATTTCTCAATTTTAACATAGTATCTTTTGGTTGATTAAAATGGTTGAATGGTAGCAAGTTATTTTGTTTTGTATACTGAGATGAGATAAATATTTTGCCTGTGTTCTCTTTGTAGGCTGGTGATTGATCAGAAGTTGGTGAAACCATTTCTTACCTAGCAGGTAAAACACGAAATAGCTCAAAATTTGAAGCATTTGGCATAGTATTTTTTGCTATAATCAATTTAGCTTGCACATAAGTTCCATAGTCATTTGTATGATACCAATGCCAATTTATTCTTCTCTGAGTGTGGTGTAAATTAGGATGAAAGTTCCAGTTGGAGACATTTCAGATTATTCTTTTCCTGTAATATGATTCATTTATAGTGCCAGATGATAAATTTTCTCTCTTCCTGTAATATGTATTGTTTATATTGCTAGATAATAAATTTCCTATCATCAATAGATTGAAGAATTTCTTTTCTTTTTGCATATTCATTTGCAATAGTATCTCCAGTAAAGATAGTAAAGCAATTGATTTCAAATTTACAAAATGTTACAACATAAGCTAAAATTAGTTGTAACATATATAGGTTAAAACTAATTGCAATATAAGTTGCAACATTAAAAGTTGCAACATATTAATTACAGTTCCCATCTTTAATCTCCAGTAATACATCTCTTCAAGTGACTATCTTGATTGTAAGAAAATTCTAAAAATCTTTAAGATACGAATACTAGGGAGTCACATACATTACAATATATATAATTTGTTTCTATTTTATTAGGATGAGACTCTTTACCGCTTTTATACAACTTTTTGCACATACTAATATATCCTTTCTTAGAAAAGATTCTTAGGTTTTTTTCAAGTATTTTTTTAAATGGATCACGAATACGAGAACATCACATTTTTGGTATTTCATGATTATATATATCTCTTAAAAGAGATAATGCATATGATATTCTTCTATATACTACAAAGTTTACATTTTTAACTTCAACTAAAATAAGCTTATAATAGGAATTATTATCTAAATCCATTTTTACAAGTGTTTAGATGAATTATAGCAATTTTAGTGATATATTGTTTTTAGTGAATATTTAACATTATAGCAGTTTATAGCAAGTATATTATAATAAAATATCAGATTCATTTTTTTATTTGATTATAAGTATATTGAGGGTTTATATAAGGTCTACATATGGCTATATACATATTTACATGCATGTAAGGGATTTTCCAATGGCATAATTCGGTTAAATTAGTTCGAGATAATATAATAGCTAAATTATTATAATCAGAGATGTATGACGTATTACAGGAATCATCCTAGCTTCCTGCCAGTTCTATGACAGTTTTCTGATGCTATCATGATGCTGAGATATTTCTCAAATCATGGGATGACCACCAAAAATTCAGAGTATAAGATGATCTAATATAGGCTGTATAGATCTCTCGTGATTAACAGGGTATTACCTAGAGCTCCTAATGAGTCAAGTCGAGTCGAGTTTTAAAGATAACTCGACTCGACTCAAAAAATTTGAGTCGAGTCGAGTCAAGTCAAAAAATTTTAAAACTCTAACTCGACTTGACTCGAGTTATACTTAAATTTGACTCGACTCAACTCGAGTCAAATAAAAACCCCCAAAATATATTTGCTGA